GTGTGTACTTGTGGGGACAAAATGCCTCTCCCCATTAGTTTGAAGGCATTTGTGGGACTCACAGTGGGGTTTTAGTGTCAGACTTACAATTAGGTTATGGTTAGGTTTAGGCCAAGGGTTAGCATCAGGCATTCATTTTTATTTTTGAGGGGAAGCACTTTGGGAAAGCATTATGTCGATTAGATGTCTCTACTAAGAAATTAAAACAAGATTGTGTGTGTGTGTGTGAGAGAGAGAGAGAGAGAGAGAGAGAGAGAGAGTTGACTGCTCCTCACACCTTAATTTCTCTCATTAACATTAGACACAAATTGAGAGGTCACTGGTTTGATCCCTGGCCCATCCAGTCTGCATTTCAAAATGTCCTTCGGCAAGATGCTGAACCCCAGGTCGTCCCTGATCCATCCATCAGATCAGAGTGTGAATGTTACACAAAGCTCTCAAAGGCATAGAATAAAAAGCCTGTCTTCATTTGTGTGCCAACGGGCGACTAAGTCGTGTAATGGAAAGTGATTTGACTGCTCTGCTAGAGAGGCAAGTCAATATGTAAGTATCAGTCCATTTATTATTTACCATATATACACAAATGTATAAACTCTCACATTCACCACCAATCTGCAAACCAGGAGTTTAGCAGCCATTTAAAATCGGGCCAAACCACAGGAGAGGTGCCCTCATTACAGAGCCTGACACTGTTTTACTTCGAGACTTAGAAACTGTTTCTACAAGTAGAACCCTCCTAAACACACAGCGTGAAATAAAAAAATATATATAGAAACACATGTCTATAATTATGTAACCATACTGTGCAAGAACAGATTAAACCTAAGATGTATATACTCAAAGAAACACACAGGTATGTCTATTTATTAATACACATACACAAATGCAGTACTGTTCACATAGATGCAAACACACTCACATAAACACGTACACTTCGATAAATTTTTGGCATCGTGGATTTAATCCTTGATGGCAAAATATAAACAGAATTTTTTCACAGCACTGCGATTCTTCTTGTAAGAAGAAAGGTGTCACTATATAACATTTTAACCATATTTGGAAGAAACTGTGTCTTATCCAGATGGTAATGTGCTCATGAGGTGGGGACAAATGCCTCCAAAGCAGACCGCAAACGGGTCAAATCTGGCATATGGAAATAGGTCAAAAGAGAAATTATTAGAATAGCCTTCTAATCTGACCCATAAGCAGCAGCAAGAGTGGGAAGTCTGAAATCATTGCCCACTGTGCAATAGAGTGGTTTTGCAGTAAGTGGGAGTATAGGGCACTGGGAAATAAGATATGTAAGAGGCCCGCAGCAGACTGCAGTAGGTAAACTTATTATTTGAAGGCTTGGCTAAATTGCGGTGAGACTGAGGGAGCTAGTTATCCTGTACTCAGGGTGAAGATGAATGTCTTAATGCTCATGGGTTGTCGACCATTAGCTTCACCGCTTTCTGGATGCACAAAGCTCCCCAGGCTGTACTGGAGACATGCAAGGATGATATCTGGGAATTGTTTAGAGGAGTTTAGCCGCAGCTCACCATGGCTTCAGCAGTGTTTATTCAAGAGGTGGACAGCTGAATTCAATTCAGTTCTCTGACCTGACAAAAATGACTGCCTATAGGTAAATTTAGACTGTACATCATAAAAGCCTGTTGCTACAGTCAATGCATTGCTGTTATGTCATCTGGCCCACTTATTGTGATCATAGTCTTGGATTATATCAACATCTGTGAAATCCCCGTCTGTTCTCTTCTAGTTTGCAGTGGATATAGTTCTGAGAAGTTTAAAATATGGTGTCTAAGCATCCAAAAAAAAGCACTGAAAACATTGTCTTCAATACACCACAAAGGCGGTGTTTGTGGACTATTTCATGTGTGTCAATTGACACCCAGAGCACACATGCTGTCATGCAGACAGTGGAGGCACAGTTTCCAGGATATGCGGATGTGGGGATCAAGTGTGGTAAAATTGCTGCTTTTGTGAAAAACTGAGTCCTGTCAACACTGTGGAAGTGGCCTCTCAACATGCACAAACCTGCAATCTGCCAGTGTGTGGGTTTACACAGGGGGGGAAAAGACATATTTGCTGGTGCAGATCACATATATGTAATATACAGCTGATTTGTGTTGCACTGTATCTAAAATTATACAGTAGCTGGCTTTTGTATGTATTGATAATTTTTTGAATTAAAAGATTTTAGATTCTATATTTTTTATTATTAAACTAAACTGCTAACCTCAGTATAACATACTGTTGAATATTGCTGAACACATATCTCCCTTTGCCCTTCAAAGCTCTTCTAAGCTGAATGCAATCCGACCTCAGAATAAAGGATGACCATTTACGCCCCTCCTGGCCCACAGCTGAGGACGTTATCATCCGATCATGCTCCTCCTTT